ATGGTTTCATATTTTTGACAAGTGTTTTGTATTGTCGTCGAGTGGTCCCAGCGTTGAATCGGTCACGTCTTCATTTTTCGTGGGTGTCGTAAGAAGCGGCTGAGAGAACTTGTTGAGGTATGGATAGCAATGTTCCTTTTTAAATATTACCAAAACCTATGATTGTCAACCCACCTGCCAAGCGTGGCGATTACTGGCAATACAAATTGGGAATACAAATTTCTTCATATTTCTTCTGCTTCAAGTGAATTTCACTGTCGCAAAAAACGATGTTTCGGCAATATTAAATTTAATTTAATAACTGTCGATCGGTACTGTGCGTTGAAATGTAACATTTGGGGATCGCCTATCTGTGTCCAGTGATAATATTGAGCTGTTTTGTGCGTATATTTTATTATTAATATATATTATAATACTAATATATATATATAATAATAATAATAATAATAGATAGATACTCTTTATTGTTTCCTCCAAAAATTTACAATAGTAAAGTTTATATAACTAAATATCAAATATAAGAGTTTTCATTCATTCGTTCAAAACTTTATTCAGGTACAATGTTCCTTATTATTATAACTACTGTATTAATATAAAAATCTTGAGAATAGTTACCACAATTTGTCGTTACTTCTTTTGGAAACGCAATCTTAAATCATTGACGATTTACGAACCATGTTTCTTTAAAAAAGTAGTTATTCCTCGGTTTTTCTTTCCTCTTTTGCCCTCTATTTTTCCTTTTATGCTTTTTAAAAAATGTCATATCGTAAAAAGTGGCCTAGCATTTTGCTTCTTCTATTCTCTATTGTTCTTTTCTCATTCATTCTTTTCAAGACTTTCTTATTCGTTGCATTTCCTTTCCAGCTTATCTTTACCACAACCGAAGAATAACTACATGGGACAGATGAAGGGAACACTAGGTGTCATATCGTATAGAGAGGTCAAAGATATGGCCTAGGATAGAGCTGGCTGGAAGAAAATGCATAAGTTTTTTGCACAAATAAGAAAAAACTTAATTAAAAAGAGAAAGAGAGAAAAAGTACAACTGGCCAGTGAGTACAAAATTAAAGGAGTTCTGCAACAACTGCTATAAAAGCTTGTTAAGGGCGTTGATTACACATATAGATAAACAAACTCGCTTTCACATTTACGTTATCAAGGGGGATTATTGAAGCAAATCCTAAATAATCATTACAAATTCCACAATATTCAGTTAGGGGCAAGTTCACGAGCGGTCGCCGACTGATTGCTGCGCGATTGATATTGCTAATAGCTCTCATTTACAGAATTAATTCCAAATCCGATTATGAGAGGTTTATACTAAAATCGATATCCAGGCGCGCTTTAATAATTTATTAAGATTTCAAAGGAAGAGCGAGAACACATTTGTTGGGAAATACAAATTTGGATGTCATTTGATGATAACGACTTGAGTGGGCTCGAAGCCTTTTGGCGGGAAATTATAAATGTCGTTTGCTTGCTATTTTAAACGATTTTCAAAAGGCGCGGTATTTTCGTCTTTTGGAATGGTTTTGATATTTTTTTTTTTCGTAATCAAAAGTGTTTATTTCGGTATTGTTGGCGTTTTAATTTTGCGACGCTCGATACTGGCACTTTTCGTCGGGATTCCGCTTGTTGCTAAGCAAAATTTAATTATAGACGCCGTTGGGTTTTTCCATACAGTCGATAAAATATTCCATGTTTTAAATTTGAACATTTTCAATCTAATGTTTGTTGATTTCTATTCATCTACTAATATATATGAAACGACATCGTAACCTTCGAGAAAAGAGCATATTCCTTTTTAAAAGGCCGGCAGCACACTTGCAATGCCTCTGGTGTTGCGGGTGATCAAGGGCGGTGCTAGTCACTTACTATCAGGTAAATCGCATACTTGTTTGGTCTCTGTGTTATTAAAAAAATACAAATGTGAAAAACTGTAAAGCTATTTGTATATTTTTACTCAGTCATGCTTAAATGGCTAAACGGATTTTAATTAAAACTGCAAATTGTATCCTATCTTTATATAGATACTGTACATATTGATGTGCGCGGACAAAGCAGCAGGAAGTAGTAATTAATTTAAGCTTAAACAAGAATCGGGAGATTAATAATCTGATGATTCTTTTTAAGCTTCACCAGAGGGAGACTTTGTACAAAAGTCGACTGCTTGAGCACCTCTGTCCCATTCGTGTTTTTACCGTGAAGCAGTTGTGTTTGTATGGCTGTGTTTCGGTTTGAAGGGTGGGATATGGCGTGAATTTACTGGGTACAGAGGAATAACACCTGAGTCCTCAGGAATGGCAACGCATGGGGGGTATCATGGGCGAAACAGTATACTCTGTTATGTCCATGGTACTGCTCATGTCTATAGGCGACGGTTACCACTTTCCATCAGGTGGGCCGTCAGCTTGTTTACCATTCTAAGTTGTATAAAAAAAAATTAAGTAGTAATAGTTTATTTTCTTATTTTTGTCCTCCTTAACGATTCGTCTCGATATTGTGTGTAAAATATTTGTATATATGATTAATACAATAACAGTTACCATTATATATACCATCACTCATATATATATGATCACCAAAGGTAAAGTGTGATGGCCACCCCGCCTGTTAAGAGTAGCAATTACTGGCAAAACCTTTATGGGTGAGACTATGTTCACCAGTAGACTGTTAACGTCTTATGCATACACATATATATCTAAATGAATTTTGTGTACTTTATATATTTATACATACATATATGCATACATATCTGTCACGCCTGTCTCCCATTAGGGTAGGCAGAAACAATGGAACGCCAAATGCTTCGATTCAAACAAACCTCTTTCGCTTCTTCCACATTCCTCAATCTTTTCATACACGCTCGCCGGTTATGGGTACTTTTAATTTGGTCCTTCTTCAGCACGTCGCCTATTTGGTCAACATACGTCCGTCTAGGGCGACCCCTACCGACATCACCATTCATTCTTGCTCGATAAATCTCTTTCGTAATTCTTCTTTCATCTATATATTTATTTATGTAGTATATACTACTATATGTAGATAGATATATAGATAGATACTCTTTATTGTTTCCGCCAAAAGATTACAATAGTAAACTTATTACAAATATAAACAATTACAGGAAATAATATGTACTTAGATGTATTGTACAGTATTCACATGATTATTTGCATATGTTTTTTGTAACACGTTTTTTATTATTTTCACTTCTTGCGCCAAATAGTTGCCGTGTTTTTCTTTTCTTCAAAAGATGTCCGGAAGAGATTGCTTTAGTAATAAGACCACCTTACCGCCTTTTGTGCTTCATATGTATAATATATATTTGTATTATTCTTCAAGTGGTGCAATAAAGAGTATAATACATTACTGCAGCGGCCAGCAACTGAGGCATTGATGGACGAACGTGCAAATGTAGGCCTCGGATACGCCTCGGCCCATATACGTGAGTCCATCAGTGCCTAGTTGTGGCCAAGGCTTGTATAGTACTTTTCTCAAACAATGCGCGGAAATTAAAAAACACAATTTTACTTTTTAAGTTCAATGACGAATAATGAACAATAATAATTTTTCACGCGCCATAATGTTCCTTTGTTTTTTTTTTTTTCAAAAAATAGCTTTCTATTTGCAAGCCAGTTCGAAATTTAAATAAAACCTTTTATTAGTAACCTCCTTAGTAGCCATGTTTCGAAGTAAAAGGTCATTCCATTTTTAAATTACAGGACAGATATGAGTTTAGATAGTAATTTATCTGGCCGCAAAACAACTTTTGCCGGCCGTTGCCCGCATGTATCTGGCCAGTACGGCAAATTCGATTTATCTCGAAGAAGATTGTCAAAATAATGCTCACATTTCCAAGCATGTTTGAGAAAAATATATAAATACTTCTTTTAATCATTACCAGGACCATTTTCAAAGATTTACGCGGGACAGGGCCGGATAAAATAAAGTCAGTCGAGTGAGTTGAGTTTTTGCAGCTCTATATATCATTCATGGGAATTAAAATGGAAGGTTTGTCGCGATTGGAAATTGTTAGAACAAATTACAGACTTGATTTCACGCCAGTAACTTCGGTTACGTGTAAGAAGTTTTATTAAACTGAGATTTATATTATATTATATGTACTTAAAAATGGTGACTTACAAAAAATCTACTTGAATTGTGACAAATCCAGTAATTTTGATTTAAAAACTTAACTACTTAAGTGATTTTGATGAAATTACTATAAAATTAATTTATAAGTATATCCTTTCAGATAAAAAAAGAATTTCCCAAATTGTTTTAGAACTGACGCAGTTATGATACAACCACTTTGGGAACTTCCTTCGTTTTGAAGTCAGTAGAAAATGTATATAACGACTAACCGAGTTATACAGAGGAATAACACCTGAGTCCTCAGGAATCGCAACGCTTGGGGAGTATCATGGGCGAAACAGTATACTCTGTTATGTCCATGGTACTGCTCATGTCTATAGGTAACGGTTACCACTTTCCATCAGGTGGGCCGTCAGCTTGTTTGCCATTCTAAGTTGTATAAAAAAAAAAAAAAAATACTACAAAACTACTTTTGTTGTCTTGATTTTATTTATATTCAAGTTATCTGTTGCTGTTTTTATTAATTTTCTTAACTCTGAGCGCATGAAATATTTTATTCATTTGATATTATTGAGAAATATTGGGCTTTTTCAAGGAGTCTTAGAATGAGCCACCTCTTCTTTTTCCGTGGATGTCGTAAGAGGCGACTAAGGGAATTTAACGGTTGAGAACTGGAAGCAGTTGTGTTTGCATGGCTGTGTTTCGGTTAGAAGAGTGAAATATGGAAGTGAATTTACAGGGTACAGAGGAATAATACCTGAGTCCTCAGGAATGGCAACGCATAGGGAGTATCATGGGCGAAACAGTATACTTTGTTATGTCCACGGTACTGCTTACAGTGGGTCGTCAGCTTGTTTGCCATTCTAAGTTGCATAAAAAAAAACATATTTTTATCTTTCCAGGATCTGGCAACGCATCACTGGAGTCGGCCTTCTGTGCCATGCTGGAGCTACCTTCCTGGTACCTGTGCGAGCTGAGTAGTCTTCTCTTCTTCGTGCTGCCAGGGTTCATCATCCTCGGCCTGTACGTCCGTATGGGACTGCGTATTAGGTACGTTATGGGGTAGGTATCACTCTATTTCTTTTTTGTAACTCTGTTTAAGCACTATTAGAAATTTATCACTAGATGTAACTACTGTGCGTTTTTATAGATAATAATAGAATGGTAACCCTGTCCGCGCTATCGGTATACGCTGGTGAGTGATAAATCATAGGTGAGGATGAAAGTACAGTAGTTAGCTCATCGTCACAAATTGCACAAGAATTAACCGCGATGGTTTCCAGGGGAACCACGTGGAAATTGACCTGTTAGGATATATTGCTAGCAATGGGGCTGTTAGACCCCATTAATAACAATGTCTTCCTCCCTAACTACTGGGGCAAAAAATTGTAGAAAAGTAGGCATTTCCTTCTTTTACCATGGATATCGCAAGAGGCGACTAAGGAAACTTAATGATCGAAGGATAGGTAATAGTGTCTTAAAACATCACTAAAGCCTAACTGCGGTTGCCGGGGGGAAGGGATTGTTAGCAATGGCTTGACAGCCCCATTGCTAACAATATGCCCTATGAGGTCGACCTCCACGTGGTTCCCCCTGGAAACCATCGTGAACAATTCTTGTTGAATTTGTCACGATGGGCTAAATGACCTGCTTTATTCTCACCTATCATCTTTCACTGGTGCTCCGTTGGTGTATAACAATAGCGCGAGTGGGGCTATCATTCCATTATCACCCATTAAAAAAATTGCGGTTGCCAACCTGCCTGCCAAACATAGCAACTACTGGATAAACCCTACTTATATGCGGTCTGTGTTCAGCGTTGGGCAGTTAACGGCTGATGAGATGATGGTGATAAAGTTTTATAAATATTGATTATTGTTCAAGTGTTTAAAACTAAATATTTCAACAACTATTCCAAAGTGTTGTGTAGTGGGTTTTATACCATTAATGAATATTTCGCTAAAAAAACAAATGTAATTCACAACTTACACTAGAAATACCATTAATGCTTCTGTTTTTATACACTAATTAATATCACAGTTTATTGAAATATTTTATTAATTTGGACAACTATTATACAGGCTTTTATTGTCCATTTACAGTAATAAATAATAATAATGTATTGTATGACTAAGATATATACATACATATATATATATATATATACTTACATATATATATATATATATATATATATATATATATATATATATATATATATATATATATATATATATATATATTCTTATATTGTTAAAAATTTGTACGCCGACACAGAGACAGAATGTACATGGGAAATATAAACCTCTATCTACTAAAATTACCTGCATTCTAGCAAAATAAATTCATTTCATTTCAGTGTTTAAATATAAAGTCTTTGTACATTTCTTTTCCACTAGTACATGTTATTAACGTGTATGATAAAGTAAAAATAAACAAGTGAAGCGATAAAAAATCTATCAATAGACGTACGTAATTAGGCACTAAATGTTCTAGATAGAAGTATATCTAATTAATATAATATAATTATAAATAAGCAATGTCTTATACATGTAAGATATTTAAGAAAAAAATATATTAGTTGTCTTAATAAAAAACAACAGATACCAAAACAATAATTTTTAGACATTTTGCCTGTCTGTACCATATATTTGTTCCAGTATCAAGCAAAATCTATTGCACCAATTTGGCTGAGGTTTTTGCTTTTGATGTCTTATTTAAAATTTTATGTATGTTTTATTGTGATTTACCATCTGGAAGTCTTTGGTTTTTCTATTTATAAAATCCACACGTACTAAGTCGCGGGTAAAAATCTAATAACTAATAAGTATGTAGTTTATATAATAATAATAAATTATTTATATTATAATTTTTTTTTATATTATATAATATACAAGTAGAATATGTATTTTTATGCCCTACTATTATTTTGGGCATTTCGCTCTCTGGTATCAAGAGTTTTTAGACCGCCTTCGTTACTTGAGTACATGTTTAAAATGGCTTTCTGTGCTCTTCGCAGAAACGTAAAGAGCAAATGCCAAACACGAATTCTCGAAATTTTAAGATGCATACTGAGACTTAAGCTTGGAGCCCTACACCGCAATTAAGTTTTACCAATAATAACACTTTATGGTCGATCTGTTATTGCTGTAAATTATTGTAGGATCTGTAATGTCTGTTATTCTAAAGAATTGTTTTGAAAAAAAGAATGGAATATTTATTTAGAGCGTAATTTTACATTTAATTACAAAAAATATTTTAAAATAAATAAAAAATTCTCACAAAATAAGGACCTTTAATTTTAACTTTTAAAAATAACTTTTGCAATAAAAAAAGTCACTAAATCGGTCGACAAATCTCAGAGGAATCGGCGTATCTACGCTACGTTGCTTTTATCCAATTAAACGAGGGCGGCACAGTATGTTTTTGTCTTCCACTGATCCTTATCAGTGGTTTACGTGGGCACATTCTTCTTAAAAAGAATATCACCTTTCGCGTGGTTGATTCATCTTTTCATTAGTCAATCCTTCTCCTTTCATCCATCCATGTTTATATTTAACATCATTGGAATATTGGTGTACCTATCCATCTACATACCAAGTATATATTATAAAAAATAAAAAAGAATGCGTAGAAAATTATTATAAATTCCACTTTTTCGCAGTTAAAAAAACAGTTAAAAATAAATTACTGTGCACAAATAAATCAATTTATTTTTTATGCCTGTACACAGTGTCTGATCTTGTAATTTTTCTGCCCCTTTTTACGGTCAACTGCATTCAATTCTGCCCCGTATTTGCCCGGCTTGCTTAAGTCAGGCCCTGTTTACACATTGCCATGGTGTAATTAGATGTATGCATAATACCAAGATACGGATTTGGGCTTGTTTGAAAAGGGCTTGATTAAAAGTATTAAATTCTGCCTTTCATGCGTGCATTCACGTCTCCTTTGATTAATTTGACTGATTAAATTAAAACATTTGAGAGTATGTTAATTATGTAGTAAAATTCTTAATAAGATGCTACTAAAATTTGGAAAAAAGGTACGTAAAAAATAAAGAAGTAAAATATTAAATAAATGCAAAATATTTATTGATAGATTTATGTACAACATGTTTTATGAATAATATTTTAGTTTACTGCCATATTTTTTTTTTTTAAATCAAATGGAAATATTAAAAATATTTCAATTGTTTTTGAAATTGATAAATGACTACGACGTGAGCACACTTCAGTAAGCTTCTGTGTGTACTCTTTTAAAGTTCAACCATAAAGAGAATGGTATAAACGTTCCTGATTTGGTACCTACACCATACTTTTTTAAATTCAAATTTAAATTCATTTAATGTCCGACACCAAGATCTATTTTGTTAGTAGTAGACTTAAAATTACGTTAGTAACAAAGGTTATAATTTATTAACCCATATATTAGAGAGGCACTCGATCAGGGTGGAAACAAACCAGGGCATGGTTATTTCATGTTTTAGTCATTGTCCTGATGAAATACCCTATCACGGGCCCATGAACATCTTCAGTTATCATTTTAAGCATAGTGTTGTCACTCCCGCCCATTCTATTCACTATGGACGCGACTTTCTTACGAATGATGGCGTGGAAACCATCGAACCGTGTTTGTGCGAACATTTCCGAAGCGCTACAGAGGTGGGGTAGTCCCAACATTATCCTAAAAAAAATATTGTACAGGACAAATAGAGCATCCAGCGATTTGTCAGTATGCTTAACCATAGACCGCCCGTGTGGAGATCCTGACATTATACCTTGATGCAGTGCAATTTTGACCTGATTCGAACATCTTGGCAATCTCCAGGCCAGCATGTTACCTCGAATCGCCAAAGTCCTACGCTCCCTCTCTATATCAACCTCATCTTTGAGCATCATCATCAAGTAAGAAAATGTCCTAGATGTACTTATACTTTAGTAGGTATACTTTGTAGTCGCTGGATTGTTAAGCTACAAAATAAAAAGAAATTACGTTAACCATTAGACTTTTTTTATACAACTTAGAATGGCAAACAAGCTGACGACCCACCTGATGGAAAGTGGTAACCGTCGCCTATAAACATGAGCAGTAGCATGGACATAACAGAGTATACTGTTTCGCCCATGATACCCCCCATGCGTTGCCATTCCTGAGAACTCAGGTGTTATTACTCCGTATTCAGTAAATTCACGCCATATCCTACCCTTCAAACCGAAACACAACCATGCAAACACAACTGCTTCACGGTTGAAACACGAATGGGACAGAGGTACTCAAGCAAACGACTTTTGTACAAAGTCCCCTCTGGTAAAGACTTCTAATAAAAATCGGTAAAAAAACTTTTAAGTTAAACGGTTTTATTTTATGTGCACTGAAAACTACAAAATAAATAAATAGTTACTTACCTATCAACCTACGTAGGTGATCTCGGTCATTAATATCTCTGATGGTAGTGGTTGTCATAGCATGAACCATGTCAGCGGCCGAAAGGCAGTTCATGAGAGAACACTGACACCAGGGTTTGCTTGGTAGGTAAACTAAGCAGCCCACACTATAACAAGTAGGTATTTTGACCTTCTAGTTCAGAAATATTTTAGTACTAGGCAGAATAGCTTTTAGGCATATTAGACTAAAATAAAAACGTGGGGCCCCTCTGAAATCATACCTATAGCAGAGCATATCTTATACTTTGGTAGATCATGAGCTGGGCGTTCGCTGGTGAAGCCGTAACGGCTGGTTATTGATGGTCAAAACCTCCAGTAACGATTATAGTAAGTCGATTCAGCGGACCCTGGACTCCGGAGCTATGAGGTTTCGGATGCGACAGGGATAAACCGCTAGGATGATGATGATGACGATTATAATAAGTCAATGCAATCCACACTTAGTATAGTAGAAAGTAATACAGAAATAGTTAATGGGCCCCACGTTTTTATTTTAGTCTAATATGCCTAAAAGCTATTCTGCCTAGTACTAAAATATTTCTGAACTAGAAGGTCAAAATACCTACTTGTTATAGTGTGGGCTGCTTAGTTTACCTACCAAGCAAACCCTGGTGTCAG